GGGTCCGGCCGTGAGGGTGGTGTGCCCGGAGCGGAGCGGAGTGAAGCGGGTCCGGCCCTGAGGGCGGTGCGGGGTCTGGGGGATGCGGGCCGCGCTCACCTGGCGCGACAGGGCCGAGCAGTGGTGAGCGCCCCGGGCACGGGCGGTGTGTGCTGAGGGGTCCCGGACACGGGCGGTGTGGTGAGCGGTCCCGGGCACGGGCGGTGTGTGCTGATCCCCGGGCACGGGCGGTGTGTGCTGATCCCCGGGCACGGGCGGTGCGGTGAGCGGCCCCGGGCACGGGCGGTGTGTGCTGATCCCCGGGCACGGGCGGTGCGGTGAGCGGCCCCGGGCACGGGCGGTGTGTGCTGAGGGGCTCCGGACACGGGCGGTGTGTCGGCCCGTTCCGCTCTGTGCAGCTGTTCGGCACGGCACGGCACGGCACGGCACGGCACGGCACGGCACGGCACGGCACGGCACGGGGGGCCGGTGGCGGGGAGCGTTCCGAGCGCGGGTCGATCGCGGGGGTTTCTTTTGCTCGGGGAGGGAATCACAGCCACAGTCACCGAGCCGTTAGCGGTGCTGCCATGGGACACTCTGACAGGCGAGGAGTGTTTTCTATCATCTCCTGACACCAGGTTCTTGGTTTGTTTGTTTTCCTCAGTATTTACGACCTCGCGTTCAAACCGGATGGGACCCAGCTGATAATTGCTGCTGGAAACAGGCTGCTGGTACGGAAACCTAACTGTCCTCTCTCCTTTACAACTGTATGAGCATGACTGCTTTCACGTGAGCTTATGAATATAACCTAGCCGAAATCCCCTTATCTCTGCCAGTGCAGCCTCACAGCAACATACATATTAATGCAGGCCAATTCAAAAGCGTTTTGAAGCTTTTTAATGTTTTTTACCAAGTTTTAAGCTCTATTGCGAGAAGTAATAAGATTTAATTTATTTTTAATCATCTTGCCCTCTTGTGCTTTTCCTGAGGTTTGAGATCCATGAACCTGTCCCCAGGCCAGGCACAGAGCACAGAGTGCAGAGTCTGTGCTGGTACAAGTTTCAGTAAAATCTCTGACAAGGGGGGAGACTCAAACCCGTGTCCTGGCATTGTGAGAATCTTCAGCTCAAGCTGATTGTGGGTCCTTGGGGATGCTGCAAGAGCAGCTCAGGGCCAGCAAAGCTTTCAGCTGGGGCAGGTGCAGGTACTGCAGGAAGGGATGGATGGATTGTGGAGCTAGAGTTCCACTTTCCACCCAAATGTGGTTCTGTGATTCACTGAAAGGGGTTTTTTTGTGCAAGTTCTTTCATTTGTGTGTTTTTTCTTCCCCATTTAAACAGGTGTATGACACTTCTGATGGAACCCTAATTCAGCCTTTGAAAGGACAYAAAGACACTGTGTACTGCGTGGCTTATGCCAAAGATGGTAAATATCACTTTGGAGCAYTGTTAGCCTGGTTTGTGAAGTGGATCTCTCCCATTTGTTATTGCCCGTTGAAAATGGAGAAATTGGGGTTATATCAATCACAGATTGAGATGTGAGTGCTGGGGTTTGTTCTCCAGTGGAGGGTTTGGTCTGCACAAATACCTGTAAGGTCACCTGTSAGAGCTCTAGTCCCACTGTCCTTCACCTTTGACCTCAGTGTTCRGTTTTGCACGGGTTAAGTGTACAATCATGGGTAATGTGAGGAGAAGGCTCACCTCAGAGATTCCTGTTTCTACTCCCYCTCTGTCTCTGAGTTTTAGTCCTATAGTAACTCTCCCCCAAAGCTTCCTGCTCTCCTGATCCTCACATGTTACCTGCTCACTGCTGTGCTTCCAGTTCTCTCAGGGTCTTCAACTCTCATTCAGTGGGACTCACTCGATGGACTTGGGGCCTTCCTGCAGCTGCTGCTGTTGGTGTGATGGGRGTTCCTGTGACAATGTACTGGTTTAACTTGTCACTGTTGCCATCATCTCCAGCCTGGGGCTGGACAGCACTGGGAGGACTGGTTACTGCCAAGACCCCAGTACAGCCATTGAAACTCGGTGTGGCTGGGGAAGCAGCAGCACAACCAGGCTCTCAGTGTCWGCCCCTTTATTACTTGAGCCTTGCCAAGTTCAAGAGCTTCTTGCTCTTTCTTTGATTGAGTATTTGGAGTGAAAGTGATTCTTGTACATGTGGGATTTAAATTATCTCTAATTCCTAGGCAAGCGCTTTGCATCTGGCTCTGCTGATAAAAGTGTGATAATTTGGACTTCAAAGCTAGAAGGAATTCTGAAGTACACGTAAGTGATGCCGTTTAGTTCTGTGCGTCAAAAGCCAATTTTGATTATGCACTGCTGCAATCAAAGAGCATGAGCCATTAGAGTTGGGAGAAGGTTTAGTAAGGTCAGAGGAAAGGGATGATAGGGGAGGGAGGAGGAAAAGAACAGCTGAAGTATCTGAAAGCAATTAAAGGCATAAAAGGAGGTGGGCAGTCCAGAGAAATCTGTGAATTTAGAGAGCTGACAGAGAGCTGGAGAAACTCAGAATAAAATGAAACTCAATATGAGCAGTCTTCTATAATAAACCATAATTCTGGTTCAAAGATCGAAATTTAAGATGGTTTTGGTCCTTCTGGTGTATTTCAATCTTGTGGTTATTTTCAGTCAGCCTTCTTAAGCAACAACTTCATGTTCTGTTTTGGACTGCAGATTTATCACGAGTTGATTTGTATTACCTGGTCACTGCGCAGAACCTGCATGAACACACTTGGTTTAGAATTTGGATACAACCTTTAGTCATATTTSACAAACCACAGTTGCTGTACAGCTTTAGCTAATCTTGATGAAATACAGTGAATTTTGCTACTTGGAGACAATTTTTRTAAGGCTTATTACTGATTTACTTTACAGTAATAGCAGATTAACTTGATGTACTATATACCAATCCAATTATTTTGGCATCTGCTAAAGCTTTCAGCTCACTTGCTGAAAGTCAGAAAAGGGATGTTTAAGAATGATTTATTGAAATCTGATTGTGACTTCATTGTAGGCATAATGACTCTATCCAGTGCGTTTCCTACAATCCTCTCACTCATCAGTTGGCATCCTGCTCATCCGGGGATTTTGGTATGTCTTCTCCCTCAAACTTTTCCACTGAGTGAATTCCATTACAGCTGGGTAGCTGAGCTCACCACAGGCAGGTAGAGCACTGTATCTGCAGCAAAGCTGCCTAACGTTCAGTGACATTGGGTGCTGATTTGATCACTCAAAGTCCATGGGAAAGTGCAGTGTAGTGAGCGGTCACAGATGTGCTGCTCTGTTACTTGGATTTTTTTCAGAGACATCCCCTGTGATTTAGATGGATTTCTTTCCCATTTACTAATAAATAGTATGTATTTGAATGTCATTCTAGCTGTGGACAAGATTTTGGTGCCTCTAAAATCCCAGCTGAGTTTCTGACAGTATTAGTTTCCAGTCTAAACGTTGGCACATACTTACTTGTCACTGTTTTTTTGGTTTTTTTTTATCAAGGCTTATGGTCTCCTGAACAGAAGTCAGTCTCTAAACATAAAACAAGCTGCAAAATTACTTGCTGTAGGTAAGTWTTAACAGTTATCTGTGTCATTTAAGTTAGTTTCAACACAAACCATTTCAGGTAAGATGCTATAGCCCCCTCTGTCCCACACCAGGCTGTTCTGTCTGATCATGTTCTGAATCTGCAATCCCCAAAATGTATCTCTGACTTAGCACATACTACAAATATTGCAAACTTTAATTTTTTATTTTACTTCTGTGTATATGATAAAATGTTCTCGATGTAGTGCGTGCTGTTGCTATAAATGTGGGTTTAGATGCATAAA